TATAATATATATATATATATATATATATATATGCCATGTTCAACATGGCTTCAGCTTACGATGCCAGTTACCGACACTTCTATAGCTAGTATCACAATAAATAGCTCCATGGAATGCATGCTATGCAAAAAAAGGGGAAATACGAACCTTTTGACAAGCTCTGCGAAGCAGCCATAAAAACAAACCCTGATTCACACAATCCTCTGCAGTTTCGGGTCGGAAGTCGATCATCTTGAATAGTAAAATGAGAAAAATTGGAATTTACAGTACAAATTATTTGAATTATTTTCGGCAAACACTAATGATGAAGAAGAAATTTAGGCTGGTAAGGAGCACTTACTCACAGAACGAGGAGAATTAGCTCTTTCCCTTGACTTAGAAGGGCAGCCTTACTCACCCCACCTAAACCTTCATTTTGGACCAAATGAAAAGGCATTAATTAGTTGGGAAAAGAACGCTCTTGTGTACCTATTTGCGTTCCCTCCCCATATGGAAAAAAGAGGTTGCGATGAAGCAATAGATCCGCATTTTCACAGTATGCTGCCCTTGATAAATCACACAAAAAGTTGTTTACTCAAGTTTGAAATTAACAATCATCCGTATAGTTATCATGATAAAATTTTGATCGCGGTTTCTTTTCTTGAGCCTTTTGCTCGGACAGAAGTCGTATTAATGGATTTGTGAGGGTGTACAGTAGGATGAGGCAAATCTCTTCCTTCCAATATATATATAACGCACTGAGCAGTTCTTTGGTAAAAGATTGCAAAATCTAGCGCTTTTTCCTATAAAAATACAAGTGAGTGAGCTTAAGAGTAGAAGAAACAGAAGGTAAACCGTACTCACATTTTCAACAACACTCAGCGCATTGTGGATAGCATCAGCGTCATCTTTCACTTTTTCATCCATTTTTTCAAAAGCCGTCAAGAATGATTCTACTATTCTTCCAGATGCTAAACTTTCAATTAACTGCGCAGCACCTTCTTCGCTCTCGTTCAAGATGTCTACATCAGTAAGTTCCTGAAAACACCAACTTTCGGGCAATTTCTAAAATTAAATAATAAAAAAACCTGAAGTAGATTGATAGTGGCTCCTAAGATATCCGAGTTTTCATGCGCTAGCAAGGACAGCATAAGGGATGGCCCACCAGCTTCAACAAAGCATGCATATAGATCTGGCTGCGTAGCAAGTACATGCATCTCCTGTGGAAAAAAAAATAACACTGGTAGAGATCTCGTTAGAGGCCCTAACTGCAGATAAAAAAA